AGTAAAACTGTACAATGATTTACATCAAAACCATAGTTACATAGTATTTGGGGTTGAATAAAGACATACGTCCATCAAGTTCAAGCGATATAGGTCCACGCATCATCTCATTCTTAGGAATACTTGTATCCCTGAATATTACGGTCCCTCAGGAAATCGTCCTGAGGAGAGGGGTAAGAGGTCTGAGGATCTGAACACAGAGGAGAGGGGTAAGAGGTCTGAGGATCTGAACACAGAGGAGAGGTGTAAGAGGTCTGAGGATCTGAACACCGAGGAGAGGAGTAAGAGGTCTGAGGATCTGAACACAGAGGAGAGGGGTAAGAGGTCTGAGAATTTGGAAACCGAGGAGGGGGTTGAGAGATCTGAGATGTAGCACACAGAGGGCAGTGGTGTAAGGTCTGAGGAGCTATAAAGAAAGCCGATTATTGAGAAGTGTGATGAGCTGTAGACAGAGGAAAGGGGTAAATAATCTGATGAGCTGTTGCTAGAGAAGAGGGGGATGAGGTCTGATGAACCATACACAAGAGGAAATGGGTGATAGGTCTAAAAAAAAAGCATACGGAGAAGAGGGGTGAGAAGTGCCAGAGAGAATCTAGAACTATGAGGTGAGTGAAAAGCACTCGCCTCATAGTTCTCCTTTAAAGAATGTCATTAAATGATTACTGGAAATAGAAACATTCATCAAATATTAGTATAGTGAATGACAAATTGTACATTGTTTATCACTTGGCAACAAGGTTTGCAAATAAAACATAGACACTAAAGGAAAATGGGCAAATGGTAAACAAGTGATAGCGGTAATCTGTTTTGTGTCTGCACAATACATTTTTACGTAGTAAATACAATAAATCTGTTACCAGCTAGTCTACTCACAAACATTTCTAGCTCAGTTAATGGAAATCAATGTTTTCACCTGAACACCGCAACTACAAAAGGAACATAGGAATGTCAGCAATACAGGTGCCGACAATAACAATATTTCATCTGAGGGTATTAAGGAAAAAAAAGTCTCAGTATTTTGATAAAATTCATAACCATGAAGAGAAACGAACCACAAAATTGATGCCTCACACATTGCAGGCAGGAACAGCATTTTCACTTAGGGGTGTACTCACTTTTGTTGCCAGCAGTTTAGACATTAATGGCTGTGTGTTGAGTTATTTTGAGGGGACAGCAAATGTACACTGATATACAAGCTGTACATTGACTACTTTACATTGCAGCAAAGTGTAATTTCTCCTGTGTCGTCACATGAAATGATATATTAAAATATTTACAAAAATGTGAGGGGTGTACTCACTTCTGTGAGATACTGTATATATAGATCTAAGACGCAATGGACTCAGCAATGTGCAATGGACTCAGGACAACCAGGGCAGCCATCAGAAATTTTGGGGCCCCTTACTATCTACAAATATTTGTATTTTGCCACAATGATAATTATGTGTTATATAGTTCAATAGCAATACAAAATCATAGTCGTCCGGCACACATTCAAAGACTTCCATAACAATTATCTCTTCCATAGTCAGAAAACAAATAGTATTTGCTTTTTAATCACTGCAAATGTGTTTGTTCACACGGGAGATAATACTCTACACAGGGTTTGATACTGTTATTGTTTGGCTTATATGATACATGTAACTTTCTGGAAGTACAGATAACCTTTCTATATGGAAGGCAACACAATTTATTACAACTGGAGCAGATAAAAAACTGGAGCAGATGTGCATGGCAACCAATCAGCTTCTCTCTCAGTTTGTTCAGTTAAGATTTGAAAATGAAACAGAGACACTGATTGGTTGCCATGCACAGCTGCTCCAGATTTTATCTGCTGCAGTTTTGATAAATCCCCCCCCATTTTACCTTGTAGTTTTATCAACACTGGCCATTTCCGAGCTACAGAATTACCTGAATCCTCCACTAGGGGCGCTGTTTCATCACATACTGCATTATAGGACTCTGTGGCGATGTTGACAGTGCACACTTTGTTCCTTTCCTTCTTATTAGAGATTGATGCAACAAATGTGTTTAACCTGGAATGGGGCCATTTATGAAGTGTAAAACAAAAACATTTGACAAGGATAGAGTACCTGAGGGCAGCCCAATAGCTTAGCGGTCAGCACTCTCCCGTTTCGGCACTGAGGTCCTTAGATTAAAGCTGAACTCCAGAATAAGTAAATATGATCTAAATACAAGAGTTTTGTATTCTTCCTTGGTGGTCTTTGTGTATTTCTTCCAGATCTGTGCAGTAATCCGGTGTGACACTTGGAGCTTCCTGTAATAAAGACCAGTCACTACTGCTCTCTCATCTTGTGCAGGGTGACTGGTCTTGTCTCCGCCCCGCCTGTAGTTTTCTGCAGGCAGCCTGGACTGGGTGGCGCCTACTGACCCCTCCCACAGCTCTGCTCTCTGCACAGCGGTTATGTCATTACTAATTTTGCAAGGCAATAGGCGTGTGCATTCGGATTCGGACTAACCTGCAAATCAACGGAATTCAGTTGATTCAGCGTTTCACCTGAATCCGAAATAACGAATTTATAATATGCCCAAATATACTAGAACTCTATTCGGGCATACATAAATTCGTTTGCAGAACGAGCGGCAGCCATATTGGCCGGCGGCACATTCTGTGCAGGCGCGCCGCCATCTTTGAGTATATCTTGGTATACTTTTAAACATGGAGGAGCAGCATCCATTGCAATGTTATTTAATGAGCAATTGAAATAGCTTTAAATAGACCTTAATATCGCTTTAACCCTTTAGTGACCTGTTTCCATCTCATGTGCATTCACCCTTCAGTGGCCAGTCTTCAACATGTCAGTGTGAATGCAGAAAACTTGATCCACTGTGTTCATATCTCAGAGAAGTACTGAAGCCATGGGATCTGCATTACAGCCAGCGATTTATCATTTATAGGATATAGCAGTAACAGCAACCACCTTCTTGACCCAGTAGCATGAATCATCGGCCATCTGACGGTACTTTTTAATATCAGACAGTATTTACAACCTGCCAAAGCTGCGTCATCAGAAGAATGTGATATGACCAGCAACGCATTTGGAACTAGAAAAGGAATATGACATAAAAAAATCATATTTCGTGTCATTTTTCTTACAGAACACGTGTGTTATTGAACTTTTGATCTTGAAATTCAATTGCAAATTATTTATGCGCTGAAGCCAAATCCGTAGAGTGGGTTTGTAACAAGAAATGCGGAAGGTGCACAGCGCCCTCTTCAGGACAACCTGTGACATTAACAACGTGGCTGAAATAAACAGTAAGGCCTCATTCACACACAACACAAGCAAAATTGTATGTTGCGTATGTACGCGTCTATGCGTATATACGAGCGTATATGCGTGCACTATATGCAATCCCAGAATGCATCACTCGTAATGGAATTTTTAATGTGCTGTACGCATGTACATGTATACGCTATGCAAATATACGGCTCTATACGCGGCAGTGTGTATGGAGCCATTTATTTGCATAGGTTGCAGATGGTACAATACGCACGTACGCACGCACGCATACGTGCGGCAGTGTGAATGAGGCCTTAAGCTTCATTCACACCAGATGCGGTGCGTTCGCGCCCGATTCTGGCCAGAACGCACTGCCTCGCATTGCGGCCAGCTCACTTATTGAAGTGAATGGCACCGTAGCCACACCCTCCGGCCACAATGCGTTCGGCAGGAACGGGATCGCAAGGCACATTATGCCTGCGGTCCAGTCCGGTGCGAACAACATAGTGCTTGCAGCATTTTGTTTGCACCGGACTGGACCGCACCACACCGCAGGCATAATGTGCCTTGCGATCCCGTGCGGCTGATCGCATTGCGGCCGGAGGGCGTGGCTACTGTGCCATTTACTTCAATGGACCGCCCCCTCCTGCCCCACAAAAAAGTGAGCCGGCCTCAATGCGAGGCAGTGCGTTCTGGCCAGAATCGGGCCCGAACGCACTGCATCTGGTGTGAACAAGGCCTTAAAGGGGTTCTAAACCCTCCGTTTGTTTTGCAAATATCTAGCAGTAGATATATGCAAAAAGTTTAAAAAAAAACAAAAAACGCTGTGTCTTCGCCGCACGCTCCCGTCCGAAAATACGAAAATGCTCGAGCGGGCGCAAAGCGTATGCGCAGTTCGGATTTTTGGCCGGGAGACGAGGAGAGACACAAGGTAAGTCTGTGGACGCGTGCACCCGCATGCAGACACCATGGGACAGGAAGTGCCAGCAAGGACAGAGGAGTCAGCGCTGGATCGGAGACCCGCCGCACCTCTGTAGGCACTGATGAAAAGGACAGGAAAGAAGATCGGATTAAGAGACATAATTTAGGGTAAGTGCTTTTTTCGCGCGATTTGCATGTCGCTCAGTGTGAATGGGGTCTAAGGTGCCCGTACACCTATTGATTTTCATCCGGAAATCGTCCACGAATGGTCTTTCGAATGACAATCGATCAGTTGACGGGACACCAACGATTTTAATTACTGTACTTCTGGCTGAATTTCCTCAATCGGTCAGGCTGGAAAACTTTTTTCAAATTGAACAAAAATCAATGGATAAGTTGCGTTTTCGTACAAAAAAAATCGCAAGAACACTGCACATGCGCAAACAAAAATCCGTTCTGACGAACGACAAAATTGGGTGAGTTAGTGACGAATGATTCAAAAGTCACATTGGGCCACATTGGGACGGGAGGGTGTGTGTCGGTTTTGCGTGGTCTTGGGCACTTGGACGCTCGGGAGTGAAGAGCGGCCATTGAAAACAATGGGATTCCCCTTGTTGAGTGTCGTCTACTTAGGAAAATGAACTACAAAATGCCTAGGTGTAAACGGGGCCTGAAAACGCCGGCATGTGATAGCCATAATCCATAAATACAACAATATTGATAAGGCCCTTTGTTCCTTTATAGCATTAGATATTTATCCTGTGGAAGTTATCTGCTCTGTTTCCCTCTATCGGCCGAAGAACTTCTCTTTTTTACTTTGAAGTCACCGAGAGCTGCCACACACAAGATGGCCGCCGGGGGCGGACATTCCCCGCTCCCACACAGGCGTAATAGTAGCAATGGCACTTTCTAAAGGGAAGTGATTCAGTGTTATGGAGTTATTCATTAGCTGGACTCTATGATAGGAGCTGGGGCTGAGCCCCCTTTCGTCTGTACTCGGCTGTGTGCTGTCTTCACCCCGGACACCATGTCCATAGAGGACGTTTTCCTGTACGAGGTGCCCGCCGCGGTCATGTGCAGCTTCTATGAGGTGATGGACTCTCTGGACGACTCTGACTGGAAAAAGTTCGGTGAGTTGTTCGCACAGCTGACAGACAAGTGTCATGAGGGGAAGATGTGAAGGAAAGACGGGGTGTATGGGGACAATAGGGACTGTGAAGGGGGTGTGTGGAGATAATGGGGATTGTGAGGGGAAGGTAGTGGGCTGTGAGGAGAAGAAGGTGGTGTGTGGAGATAATGGGGATTGTGAGGGGAAGATAGGGGGCTGTGAAGGGATAACAGGGGTGTGTGGGGATGATGGGGACTGTAAGGAAAAGGGGGGGCTCTGAGGAGAAGGGGGTGTGTGG